GCGACGTGTTCATAACCCAATTACGATTCACGCAACCTGCCCATTTCGGTAATTTGACACGTTAGGAATCTAAACGACGACCCATAAATCCGATCCTCCACATAAAACGACAACCAAATATTCATGGATCACAAGCACATCGCGCTCTAGATAAACCGAACACCACCACCGCCAAGTGCCAACTATCCCCACTATCTCTCCACGCGCCGCTCTCTCTCCCTCCTCCATGGCGATCACTCTCCACCCCTGCCGAATTCCGCCGCGTACCGATCTCTTCTTCTCGGAGAGCCTCACCGGGAAGCCATCTCTCAGTTTCCGGAAACGTTTCTCCGTCCGATGCTCCGGCGACTCCTCTTCCTCCGCCGTCGAGTCCGACTTCGACGCCAAGGTCTTCCGCAAGAACCTCACTCGAAGCAAGAATTACAACCGCAGAGGCTTCGGCCACAAAGAGGCGACCGTCGAGCTCATGAACCGCGAATACACAAGTGAGTAATCTATAGACTATAATCAGCTGCAGCTACTCCTCAGAATCAGTAATTAAGCAGCTAATGAGTCGATTAATCAATTTTAAATTTTGAGTTTTGATTATTTAAGGCGATATTATTAAGACTTTGAAAGAGAACGGGTTCGAGTACACCTGGGGAAACGTGACGGTGAAGCTCGCCGAGGCGTACGGATTCTGTTGGGGCGTTGAGAGAGCGGTGCAGATTGCTTACGAGGCCAGAAAGCAGTTCCCCGATGATAAGATCTGGATCACCAACGAGATCATCCACAATCCAACCGTCAATAAGGTCGCTATTAATTTTTGCAATTTAATTTGGTTTAATGTCAATCATTTTATTTGTAAAAATATATCGAATGTATTAAAAAATGTTAGTTAATTATTTAAGAGAAATTTTATTTGAACCCCATATTAACTTTAATTAAACTATCTCTTTAAACCCATATTTACTATCTAAATTACCCTCACAAACCCAATTCAATTTGTAGATTTATCCGTACACTCATTTAGAAATAAAAACCCAAAATTTGCAAAGAGAAGTCCATTTCAAGTTAGGACTACGAAAAAGTGGACAAATTCTTAATCCAAACAATATGATCGTCCTTGCAATCGTATTGCAAAAGAGCTTGTTGCACTTGTTTAAGGGTTTTTTTTGTTTGTTTCAAATGGTCTGAATCTGAATTCTAAATGCTATTGTTTCTTTATTCTTATTTTTCTTCCTTCTTTGGTTAAGTTGAAGTCCTCTCTCTGGTTGTGACTATCTATCAATTAAGTACAGGATTTAACCTAGTATTTTTAGGGATGAATATTTATCTTTAGGATGTATTTTGTTGGATGAAATTTCATATCTTTTAGTTTGATTTACCGCAAGGAGGATATATCATATATGTTTGTGATGGTGAGTTGGATCAAAGAGATAATTATTCTCTTCAAAGCTCCAACTGCCCCAAGATTTCCAAGCCTCGGCATTTTCAACTTAAACGATTCATGGTTGTTCTGTCCGATATGTCATAAGAAATATCCTAGTACAAGTCCATGAGCAGACAAACGAACGAGCCATAGAATCCTCTTCTGCATGTCATTTGATTTGTTTGACCTTAGAACTATGACATCTCCCCTGGACGATCTCAGCACTATGGCATCTCCCATTGCTGCTGTTGTAGATTTGTTTGCCCTTTGGTGTTTGTTTGGGTTTATTGATAAATTTTAGTTGTATTGTTAAATTCATCTTGTACTTGATGGTAATTATGTCCTAGGGTAAAAAAGACAATTAACATTTAAAGTTTAAGTTGGGTGTAAAAAGTGGTTATATGGGTTCAAATAAAATTTCCCATTATTTAATCAATTTTTTTTAGGTCAAACAATAGATTTTGTTAGATTAAATATTGGATAATGTAAGGGTTCAACACCTTTTCACGGTAAAGGGCCACTTGCTAATTATTTAACTAATTGAGTTGAGATGAAATGGGCAGAGGTTGGAGGACACCTTTTCACGGTAAAGGGCCACTTGCTAATTATTTAACTAATTGAGTTGAGATGAAATGGGCAGAGGTTGGAGGAGATGAAGGTGGAGAACATTCCAATAGAGGAAGGGCAGAAGCAGTTTGATGTGGTGAACAAGGGTGATGTGGTCATTTTGCCTGCTTTCGGAGCCGGAGTGGATGAGATGCTCAACTTGAGTAACAGGAATGTTCAAATTGTTGACACTACTTGCCCCTGGGTTTCCAAGGTTGGCATTTTATTTTTAGTCCATTCGACATTTTCGGTGAAAATTTAAATTGGGTCTGGTATGTTATGACTGTGTTTTCGCGTGAAGGTTTGGAATACTGTGGAGAAGCACAAGAAAGGAGATTACACTTCGATCATTCATGGGAAATATTCTCATGAGGAGACTGTGGCCACAGCTTCTTTTGCTGGGAAATACGTTATAGTGAAAAACATGGATGAGGTAAGTGTTTTGTACTTTGTTGTAGATTTTCTGGCGAAGTTAAAATTTTTAGCTTCAGTTTATAGTGCTTCTGTTTGTCAAGCTAATGAGTTATTAATGCCAATTTTATTTCAGGCAACATATGTGTGTGACTATATTCTTGGCGGTGAACTTAATGGGTCTAGCTCGACTAAAGAGGCATTTATGGAGGTGCTGTTTTGAGTTGCTTATATGGATTCAATTGGTTTTGTATGGTATCATGCAGTGTTGAAGTGTTTTTGTCTTTGACCGCAGAAATTTAAAAAGGCACTTTCTCCGGGGTTTGATCCAGACAGAGACCTGGTAAAAGTAGGCATTGCAAATCAGACTACAATGCTTAAGGGGGAAACGGAAGAGATTGGTTAGTCTTTGAAGTTATGTTAAGTTAGTCCATCATTTGGTGAACAGACTATTAGGGTAAATTATGGACTGCCTCTTTCAATCTAACAGGAAAATTAGTAGAGAGGACCATGATGCGTAAGCACGGAGTGGAAAATGTCAATGACCACTTTGTGAGCTTCAACACAATATGTGATGCAACTCAGGCAAGTTCTTTCTCTTGTTCATGGCTTTTCTGGTTAGATTCTTCTTAGATTTCTATTAGAACAATGTGTAACCATGCCTTGTCTTTTATCCTCTCATAAGATTGTATTTATTTTAATACCCCACAGCAGCAGTTATGTGCACACCCTTGCGAAGCTTTTGCCATTTGGCTTGAAAGCAGGGTTACTTTAAAAGGAAAACTAATGAAAAGGACTTGAAAACTTTGAGTTTTAATGATAAGGACAAAATAAAGGGTAAAGTGAATAGTACCAGGATTGACTTTTTAGTGTAAAAATGTGGTTTTTCGTTAAAGTGAACAGTACCGGGTGCTTTTCATTAAAGTTCCCTACTTTAAAACACTTGCTCACCAACAGTTTTGTATACATTTTTTTGAACATTCCGAGAGATTTAAAATGTGATATGTGTTCCGTTTATAGGAGCGACAAGATGCAATGTACAAGCTTGTTGAGGAAAAGCTTGATCTTTTGTTAGTCATTGGTGGGTGGAACTCGAGTAACACCTCTCACCTACAAGAAATTGCAGAAGAACGTGGAATTCCCTCGTATTGGATCGATAGTGAGAAGAGAATAGGCCCCGGAAACAGGATAGCTTATAAGCTCAATGTGAGTCTCTGAAGCCATAGAACTGCAATTTAGTTTGTTCTGGATTACAAAATTATGTTATTCTTCTTCCAAAACAATAACAGAAACAAAACTACATTATTCCGTTATTTGTTGTCTTTCCTGTATGGCTTTGTACTTATCATACCTGTCTGTCATGTTTCTTTGATAGCATGGCGAGTTGGTCGAGAAAGAGAACTGGCTGCCTGAAGGTCCCATCACCATTGGAGTGACATCTGGTGCCTCTACTCCAGATAAGGTAATTCTCATATATGTGAATGTTATTTGAACCACTAAACCGCATCTGCTGAAACTTGAAAGCCACGTGAATTCACGTTATCTGCCTAACTTTTTACTTCCTAGCTTAATAATTGATCAATTCAAATCCATTTGGGTTTCTCCCAGGTCGTCGAAGACACTCTTATCAGGGTGTTCGACCTCAAGCGTGAAGAAGCCTTGCAACTAGCATAATCCAAGTTAGGCATCATCGCTTGATAGTTATATAAGCAAGAGGAAAGTGTACTGTATCCTATACCCTAGAAACGTAATTGTTGCATCTGGTATGATATTAGGTCGAGGTTCCATTGTTGTACCTTGTATGTGTTAATATGCCTTGATTCGTGACCTGTAAACTCAAGTCCAAGTTCCTCAATTACGGTCTCGATGTAACCGAAGTCCGACATATGAGATATCGCTTTCATGATGGACAAAATCTTGGGTGCATTCGAGTTATATCTCCTATTTTTATCATGTGACATGCTGCCTCATTTGTAGGCCCGTTGATATTCATTTTCCTTTTGAATATTCACATTTTGTGAAACTGATCATTTGTTTGATAATTACTTCTAATTTTTAGTTCTAAATAAAAAATAAAAAATAAACGAAAACTGAAAGCACTTAACAAACAAGTTTTCAGTTTTTAAAACATGAAAATTGAAAACTAAAAATGAAATGTTTATCAATTGGCCGTTAAAGAAACCTAAATTGGGAAGACAATCAAAAGCACAACTCCTCCAAATGCATTCACATTTCGTCAAGAAAGGATCCATTCACAACTTCGGAAGGGGAACCAAATAGGCACAGATTCTCGGAGCTACATTCACGTACTAAGTCATGCTTCTTGTGGCGAATGGCTCGTTTAATACATTTATGGTGCGTTTATTCTACCGGACTATCTCGGACTGAACTAAGTTTAGGGATTAAGCTGGACTGACTTAGATTAGATTAAGCTAGATTAACTTAGTGAAGTGTTTGGTGCACTATCAGACTAAAAAGTAGGATAATTAACAAAACTTTAATATTATATTATTTAACCAATATCTATTAATATTTTAATATTAATATATTTATTTATTCTTTTATACTCTTCATCCTCTCTCATAACCTCTCTTTTTCTCCGCCCATGTTCTTCCTGCCCTTTCCCTCTTTTACTCTCTGTTTCTTCGTCCCACTGTCACTCTCCCCACCCCCACTTTTTTCTCGCTTTTTACTCAAATTACGTTGCTATGTTCTTCTCTTCGTCAAAGTATGAAACTCTGAATTTTTTTTTATATTTAAATTTCAGTTCTTTGAGATTACAACTCAGTTCTTGGCGTTGGATTAAATCCAAAGCAAATCCAACTAGGTATTCCTCCTTGAAGCAAAGAGGGAAATCTGGGCTGTGGGTTCGTTGGGCTTCATAAGAGGGAGAGAAATCAATTTGAAGCAAAGAGGAAGTTGGGTTCGTGAGACGAAGGAGATCGGCGAGACGGCAAGATTTGGTGATGGGTTTGCGGGATGATGGAGATCAGCGAGACGACAGGATTTGGCGACTGGATTTGGCGATGCATGCTTGCAGATCGTAAACAATGAAGATATTAGAGAGCCAGGATTAGCAATTCCATCCTTTTTGGGGGTCCTAGCTAAGACGAGGTAGCGAAGCCTTTAGTCGGAACGAGTCCGACTTAATCCCATTAAAGATAGTCCCGGATCAAACCAAACACAGACGAGTAAGCCAGTCTAGTCTAGTAAAACCTAACGAGCCCAAACAAACACACCCTTAGTCTGAAGTGCCGATTTAGTTCCTAAACTATTACCTTACCGAAAATTAGGTTCTTAAATTATTATTTTTAAATAAAATAAGTTCCTAAATTTATTAAAAATTGCTAAATCGTATCGAATCTATTGACAATGGAGTTTCATAACAAGTTTTGAAGATTTGGAGCATCAACACTTAAAACAGTTTCCTTATAATGTTCATCATATATATTGTCGTAAAATGCTTATTTCAAGTGTTTTTAGCTTTGGTGCAGAGATATTAACATTATTTTCGGGAGTCCATTGAGTGAGGATATACGACATTAACCTGGAGAAACTTCAGACCCAGCTTCAAAGACACCAATGTTTTGCACATGTAAAGGCTTCTTGGAAACTCAAAAGGAAGGAGTGTTAAATTTTGCTTGCGCACGACTCCAAAAGAGCGCAGGACTCCAAAAGGGACATGTATGTTTGTCACTTAATACTATGGTTTAGTAGTATATTTTTCTACTTGTAAGTAGGAGATCTTACGTTCGAGCACCGTGGATAACGGCCTTTATACTCTCATAGTATCAAAAGAAACAAAAGAAAAAAGCAAATATGCTCAAGCTCCTCTCAATGAGGCTGAAATAAAAAGATCTAAGCTAGATCACATTGGACAACTTCTTTCCAATCCTACAGAGTTTCAAAAAGAGTGGTTTGAACTTAATCTCATTTGCACCCACCCGTTAACCTGACGCAGCTCACCGTTACAATTAGTACAACAAAACCTTTATAAAGTAATATCCATAACGGAATAATCTCTTCAAAGTTGTAAAGAATTTTCATTCCAACTTGGGACCAATTATGTGTTGAAATAAACTCTATATTGTAATAAGTTATAATTTTTCTTGATCTTATCCTAAGAAAACACATCTCCACTTAGTTATATTTGTCAATGAGTACAAAAATATGCAAGAGATAAAGTACTTGGCGTCCAAGGAATCCTATTTAGGAAATACAACATTCAGTAAGGATAATATCTATTAAGTAATAACCTCCCTAAAGTTATAAAATTGGTTTCGTTTTAACTATATAACATTGGAGAGGTTGTAATGCGTTGAAACCTAAAAGAACAAAACGAAAGAATGCAAGCAAAGTCAGTGTAAAGAATAGTACCCTTTCCGAATCCAATGAGGCTTAACTGTTACAATGTGTATCGTAACTTCGATAGTTGTAGGAGAAACAACTGTACAAATATAAATAGATATTTACAACTTAAGAGCTTCGAATTTGCACCGGCCCTGGAAACCATACTGTCACTGGTATAATGCTGGTAAGTATACATATAAAAACACAGTCAACTGCTCTGCCGATGTGTTGATTTCTGCTTCGAAAACAAAGTTTAGGATGAAGAACGGCAGCTCAACTGCTCCTCCAATGTGTAGAATTATGATTCATAAGTTTGTAATGAATTCTCTCTTTTTGTTTGAAGTTCTGTACAATCATTTTAAACTGGAGCGATATCTGGATTTGACTTCAGTGGTCAGAGAGCAGCTATTCCATCTTAGATGCTTCAGAAACTAGCCAACAGTGCTATCTGATTGCCTGGAAAGAGATGAGTTAACTAGTTCTGGAACCCGATCAAGCAAACGGTTCATCTCCTCGGGAAATTCTCCCTTTGCTCGGTTAGTTTTTCCTCCTACGATCACTGCTGTTCCATCTTGTAAGGCCCAAATCTTTCATTTGTGCAGAGTAGAAAACAAAGAAACATAAGCATGTATGAATAATGTGGGGGAACAGTTTCAATAATATCTAAAAAACCGAAGAAAGAAATATCAACGAAACATATAGGCACCCCATCTATGAGACGGTCCTGAACTACACATACTTCTGCATTAGAAAATTCAAGTGATCCTACAATACAAAATTCCACTATGATAGAGGCAGACTGCACAATTAATGACACCAATTACATGTAAGCCTGCTTGATGAATTTATAAACCATTTGAACCATCATCGAACATGTAACAGTGACCTGTACAACGTATAATTAAATTCTACCTGTGAATGAGAAAGAAAACTGATGCAAGTAGTAAGCATTAGAGCACCAAATCCAGCATATACAACAGGCACTCCTGGGTCAGTCTGATAAGGACAAGGTTTAGTTTCAAGGCTGAATGAATGCAGTTGAAGAAAAATGTATATTTTTATGTATATAAGAACAATTAGTCTTCACCTTCAAGTCAAGACCGCTACTCCCAATTGCATCTACAATAACAATTTTGTTGCCATCAATTTCAATTGGAAGCTTGGAACTTGGTCGTCGGACTCCAGCAAATTTTCCTTCTTGATCATACAGGACAATTGATTGTAGATCACGAGCAAGCATTGATCTGAAATTAGAGAAAAGAATGCAGATAAGCAACATCCGGAAACAATAATCTGCCAGCGGAGATGTGGCCCCTGCCGCTCCTTCTTTTATAGATGGAGGGGCAGGGGAAATAAAGCAACCTGCAAAAAAGCTTCAAAAGCTCTTCATCCCAATTCAGCCTTGGGTAATTGTTTGAAACACCAACAAGAACATTGGGAATTTAGCTTCCTTATTCATGTCTACTAAGGTACAAGCAAAGATATAGCTGTTAGAGAGTCACATACATTCCCTTGACATTAGGAGCATTAACATTGCCAATGGGTAAGAAGGACCCATAAAGCTTCTTGTCTCCATTTATCTTAAGAGGTGCCATCGCCAAATTGAAAGGTCCTTCGTTATCCTTGAGTACTTGAAGCGCTGAAATACTCCAGTCTGTCTGGTAAATCGTGATCCCTCCATACCTTAAAGGGTTATTTACACTTATTGTTTTCCTTAGCACCTCCTTGCCGTCAAGGTCCAATAGTGAAAGATCGGTGTAAAACTGTGATACCTGAGACATAAACGAGGGGGCGAAAAGGTAAACTACCTAAGCACTTAGCATTACTGATTGAGCACAACTTGGGATATGATCATGTCATAATAAAGTTTATGATTTAAAACATGCGAGTCAAAAGGTAGCACAAAACAAAAAAATAGAGCACATAAACATTCACCTCACCACTGTCATAGTAGTTCATGTAGAATTTGTTGACATGAACCTCTGTATTAAAAGACTCAGTTGGAGTAGAGAGAAACCCGATTGGGCGCATCACATCTCCTATAACAAAATTCAAACCCTGAGGAACCATGACCGTTCCCTTGAAGCTCCCACTTGCACTAAGAGTTCCACCTACCATTATTAGCAGCATTGCTAGATGTACTCCAATAGGGGCAAACCGACCAGCCAGCCCCTTGAAGGCATATAAAGAAGGCCCTTTCAAGAATACCTAAAAGGATCAAGAAAACCATAAGGAACACGTAGCTATAACTATAAGGAGATAAAAATATTCAGGAGGAAGTATTAACACCTCATATCCAGCTCCCATAAGGACAACGCCCAAATCTTGAACTGATGCTCTTGGCAAAGAGTCCGAAAATTCCTGCTTGTGGATGGCCTCAGAAGATTGCATAAAGTTCCATCTGTTTTTCCAGTTAAATCCATGGTTAATAGGACAGTGGGCAATCCAATTTCAGTTAGGTATTATGATGTAAAAATGAAAAACGAAAGCAAACCTTCTCGCAACCTTGACCAGGGGTATTTGCGTAGTGTAAGTGCAGGCCATTAGCGATGCACCAAGGAGAGCCAATAGTGAAAGGAAAATGGGGGAAGTGAATATGTGGTCAAACCCAAGGGTGAGAACCCATCTCCAAGTGAAAATTCCCAACACCGGATTATTTTCAGGGTATTTATCGAAATAGAAATCCGGGGCCTCACCTTGATCAATGAAAGTTCCTGCAGAAGCATTGCATCGACGTAAGGCCAACTTACAATTCTATATGAAGTTAAAAACAGCTCTCTTCACAATACCTCATAAACAAAAAAAACAAGGCATTGCTTACAATTAGGCGCATTACGAAAAGGGCATTTCGTATCAACTTTATTTTCTCAAGAAAAAACATAATTATCCAAAATAATTAAATCAAATTTGATTTCCACCTCACAGTAATGAGCCAGGGAAACAAGCTACCTGGACTAAAAATTCAAAAAATCCAAAATTAAGCAACTACTAACAAGCATTAAGCACCAGCAAGTAACCCAATTAAGCAAACAATCAACCAACTAAAAACCCCAAAAGCAAAAATCATTAAGCTGCTTATTCAAAGATAACAAAACCCAGAAACTCAACATACCCAGAGCCATAAGACCAGCAATGGCAAACATTTCTCCAATAGCCAAAGGCAGATAAGATAGAACCGAAAGAACCCTTCTAGGAAACCTTTTCACCAAACCCATCACCCCAGTCCCACCCCCTGACTTCACCGGAGCTTCCTCGCCTCCGGCGGCGTCGCCACTCTTCTCCACCAGAGGCGGCGGCCCTCCTTCGGAGAGTATAATCTGCTTAGTTATGTTGTTTCTTTTGTTCTTGCTCTTCTTGCTGTCTTGAGGGGTCTTCAGCCCACAAGTGGTGGTAACTGAGAACGAAAGAGGTGGTTGCCGGAAGGAACGTCTATGAATTTGGGAAGTGTGGGGAGAGAATGTGGTGAGTTTGAAGGGGCAGTGAAGGAGAGGGGCTTTGAGGAAATGGGTTCTGGGTAGACATGATTTGGGGGCCGTGGTGGGGTTTAAAATCTCCATTGATGGAGCTTCGTGAGAGCTCGAGTGTTATCAGCTCCAGAGCAACTGTTTCCGTTGAGGGAGTGAGGTGTAACGACCGGTACTTATGTTAGTTTATCCTGAGAGGGGATGTTTATAGACAATTAAACTATTTTGGGCCTTTCTAATTGGACATGGTGTTTTTTGTATTGTGTCGTTTTCGTAACATTTTCGATCATGAATCGTGTTATGTAGCATCCGTTAAAATAAACAGGTAATATGACTCGATCCAAAATTAACTTGTTAATATTAACAGATAATATAACCTGACTCGTTATCTATTAACTAATACTTTTTAAATCAATAAATAATAAAATGAAAAACATAATACTAAATTAGTATCTATATATTGCTACTGACCCTTTACCACAATGGTGAAAATATGTTAAGCCTTTGCATGACGGCATGAGTTCAAACTCCGTCGGTGGCTAATGTAACATCTATTCTAACAAAATTAATTTTTTGACAATGTATATATATATATATATATATATATATATATAACTCCGCCGTGTAAGTTTATCTTACATTGCCGGTCCCAAGCCCGGATAAAGGAGGAGGGGGAGGGCGTCAGGTAGTCGACAGCCGGCACTCCATGATTACGTCGAATCCTTATGAAAATGAATCCAGAACGAAATCGCGCTAAAGCTAGGGCGTCACCCGTAAGTGGCGCGCTGTGTGGCCTGAGCACAGTGATAAGTGAGCAAGGGTCGCTGTATCTCCATCGGCACCCGGATACAGTGTTAAATGAGCAAGGGGGCTATAGAAACTTCTTTTCGAACGACTCTACTCAAAGTTGTTTGGGAGCATATGCTCCTATCAACTTTACACGGGACACACAAAAGAAGTACTTTGATCCTATTAGACGGGGAAGGGTGAAGAAGCTAGGACAGAAGGGTAGAGTTCAAGAGAGCAAAATGCGTTTAGGAACGTGGAATATAGGAACCTTGACGGGAAAATCTATGGAAGTAGTAGAAGTTATGGTGAGGAGAAGGATAAATATTATGTGCCTACAAGAAACTAAGTGGGTTGGTCGTAAGGCAAAGGATCTAGAAAACTCAGGGTTTAAACTATGGTATTCGGGCACAAATAGAACGAGAAACGGTGTTGGCATCATCGTGGACAAGACCTTGACACAAGATGTTGTAGATGTCAAGAGGGTAGGAGATAGAATCATGGCAATCAAGATTGTAATAGGACAAGAACTTATCAATGTGATTAGTGCGTACGCACCTCAAGTAGGGTTGGATACGAGTTCGAAGGAGAAATTTTGGGAAGACCTTGGAGACTTGGTGCAAGGAATTGCTCAGACGGAGAAGTTATTTATAGGAGGAGATTTAAATGGACACGTGGGCAGGGAGACAGGCAACTATGGAGGTTTTCATGGTGGCCATGGTTTTGGGGAGAGAAACGAGGATGGGGAAGCTATCTTGGATTTTGCAATGGCATATGATCTCTTCTTAGCCAACACCTTCTTTAAGAAGAGAGAAGAACATGTGATCACCTACAAGAGTGGGTCGTCAAAAACACAAATAGATTTTCTTCTAATGAGGAAAGGGGATCGTATAACTTGTAAGGATTGCAAAGTTATACCAGGAGAGAGCGTGGCTAATCAACATCGCTTGTTGGTGATGGATGTACATATCAAAAGAGTGAGAAAAAAGAACAAGACTTGGAAGTGCCCAAGGACTAGATGGTGGAATCTAAAAGAAGAAAAACAAGCCATTTTCAAAGAGAAAGTAATCACCCAGTGTGTGTGGGATAGAGAGGGGGAAGCTAACCAAATGTGGGATTCCATGGCTAGTTGTATCCGAAAAGTAGCAAAAGAGGTATTAGGAGAGTCCAAGGGCTTTGCCCCACACCAAAAGGAATCTTGGTGGTGGAATGAGGAGGTACAAACAAAGGTGAAGGCTAAGAAGGAATGTTGTAAAGCCTTATACAAGGATAGGACCGATGAAAATGGTGAAAGGTATAGAAAAGCGAAGCAAGAGGCGAAGAAAGCTGTGAGAGAAGCTAAGTTAGCGGCTTATGACGATATGTATAAGCGACTAGATACCAAAGAAGGAGAGTTGGATATCTATAAACTAGCTAGAGCAAGGGAAAAGAAGACAAAGGGACCTAAACCAAGTGAGGTGCATCAAGGATGAGGATGGAAAGGTTCTTGCTACAGAGAACGCGGTTAAAGACAGATGGAAAGGTTATTTTCATAATCTTTTCAATGAAGGACATGAAAGGAGTGCTTCTTTAGGGGAGTTGAGTAACTCAGAAGAGTGTAGAAACTACTCTTTTTATCGTAGAATCCGGAAGGAAGAAGTGGGTTGTAGCTTTGAAGAAGATGAAGCATAGAAAAGCAGTAGGCCCAGACGATATACCAATCGAAGTGTGGAAAGTTTTGGGAGAGACAGGTATAACATGGCTCACTGACCTTTTCAATAGGATTTTGAAAACGAAGAAGATGCCGAATGAGTGGCGAATGAGCACTTTGGTGCCTATCTACAAGAATAAGGGCGATGTACAAAATTGCATGAACTATAGGGGAATTAAGCTAATGAGTCATACAATGAAGCTCTGGGAGAGAGTCATTGAGCATAGATTGAGGCAAGAGACACGGGTTTCGGACAACCAATTCGGGTTCATGCCAGGGCGCTCAACCATGGAGGCAATCTATCTCTTACGAAGATTGATGGAAAGATATAGAGATGGGAAAAAGGATTTACACATGGTCTTTATAGATTTGGAAAAAGCGTATGATAGGGTCCCAAGAGACATTCTTTGGAGGATTTTAGAGAAGAAAGGAGTACGAGTAGCATATATCCAAGCTATAACAGGATATGTATGAAGGAGCAAAGACTGCCGTAAGAACTCATGAAGGACAAACCGAAAGCTTTCCCATAACTGTAGGATTACATCAAGGCTCATCCTTAAGTCCTTACCTTTTTGCGTTGGTAATGGATGAGTTAACAGGACATATTCAAGATGATATTCCTTGGTGTATGCTTTTCGCAGACGATATAGTGTTGATAGATGAAACTCAGGAAGGGGTAAATGCAAAGCTTAACCTTTGGAGAGAAGTGTTGGAATCTAAAGGTCTTCGCCTAAGCCGATCAAAGACAGAATATATGGAGTGCAAGTTCAGTGCAAATGGAGGCCAAAACGAGTTAGGGGTGAGGATCGGAGATCAAGAAATACCAAAGAGCGACCGTTTTCGTTACCTAGGATCTATCTTGCAAAAGAACGGAGAATTAGATGGAGATCTCAACCATAGAATACAAGCTGGATGGATGAAGTGGAAGAGTGCATCCGGCGTGTTGTGTGACCGCCGTATGCCACTGAAGCTCAAGGGAAAATTTTATAGGACGGCAATAAGGCCGGCGATGCTGTATGGCACAGAATGTTGGGCGGTGAAGCATCAACACGTACACAAAATGGGTGTAGCGGAGATGAGGATGCTTCGTTGGATGTGTGGGCACACGAGAAAGGATAAGATTAGGAATGAGGATATCCGGGGTAAAGTAGGAGTAGCCGAAATTGAAGGAAAGATGAGAGAAAATCGGTTACGGTGGTTTGGACATGTGCAAAGAAGGCCTACTGACGCTCCGATTAGAAGATGCGACTATGGGACAGAGGTTCAGGGCCGAAGGGGTAGAGGAAGACCTAGGAAAACTTTGGAAGAGACCCTAAGAAAAGACTTAGAGTACTTGGATCTAACGGAGGACATGACACAGGACAGAACACAATGGCGTTCTAAGATTCATATAGCCGATCCCACTCAGTGACTTGGATTTTCCAAGTCTCCAACCGAGAAGTTTTCCTCACTCGGGAAATTAAGGGAACACTACCTCAACCTATATGCTCCACTCACAAAGCTTCAACATACAAGCTTCAACAAAAGAAAATTCAAAGAACTTAGCGAAGAAGGCTTTGGTGTATTTAACACAATACGTTGAAATGAAGGAAAGCTTATTTATTGATATCCCCGATAAGTAAGTTACAAATATGTACATATACTTGAGTCAAAATAAACAAACAAGAGGGAGCCTTCACAAAGGTTGCTTAGGAGAAGTCTCAGCAGTCGGTAGAGCCCCAGAAAGAGAAGGCACCGGAGGGGGATCATTCGGAGCCTCAGTACTGGACAGAAACCCTAGAAGGAGGAGGCATCAGAGAGGTTGATCATTTGGAGCTTCATTACGCGGTACAGCCCCAGAAGACGAAGGCAATAAATGCCTTTGGAACAAACCCACAAATCTCTGATGATCAAGTAAAACCTGACCATCAGATTCCTTCATCTGGTCAAGCTTCCTCTTCATGTTTGTAGCATAGTCATGTGCGAGCCGGTGCAACTGTTTATTCTCATGCTTGAGCCCTCTAATCTCCTGTTTGAGACTCATCACTTCAGCCGCCAATGATTCAACTTGGCGGGTTCGAGCAAATAGGCGTTGGGCCATATTAGACACAGAACCTGCACACTGAACACTGAGAGCCAGAGAATCCTTAACAGCCAACTCATCAGACCGTTTGGAAAGTAGTCTGTTATCTTTGGGAGTGAGAAGGTTCCTGGCCACTACCGCAGCGGTCATATCATTCTTCATCACGGAATCCCCAACGGTAAGAGGACCAGTAGGGGAGACGAAGGATGGGCGCCATATGTTGTCTGGAGAAGGCGGGGCTGCCTCTTCAACAAGGTTCAAGTCAAAACGACGGTCGGAGGGGCCAGACATTTTCAAAGGTGTTGAAGAGAGAAGAGGTCGGACAAATCAAGATCTTAGAAGTGCAAGAATGGAGCTTCTACTGGTGGATATTCAAGTGTGCTTTGGAACTTAATGTCAGCCCCTATAAAAATCTGCACTCGACGAAGCTTCAGAAATCGAAGAGGCGCCTGCTCAGAAATCGAAGAGGCGTTTGCTTTCTCAAAAGCTGGGCTGCTCAGAGACCACGAGGGTCGATCTCAGAAATCGAAGAGGTGTTTGCTTTCTCAAAAGCTGGGCTGCTCAAAGACCACAAAAGGCCGATCTCAGAAATCGAAGAGGCTTGCTTTCTCAAAAGCTGGGCTGCTCAGAGACCACGAGGGCCGATTTCAG